GCTCCCATAATTCTCACCTGTCGTGGGAGGGACTGGGTAGGAAGTAACTGAATCACGAGTGTGGGTCTTTCCCGAGCTGTTCTTGCGATAGTGAATAACTTTCACAAGATCTGATGGTTTTACAAAGGGGAGTTCCCCTGCCCATGCTCTCTCTTGCCTGCTGCCACAAAAGACATGAGTTTGCTCTTCCTTTGCCTGCCACCATGATTGTGAGGTCCCCTCAGCCATGTGGAACTGTGGGTCAATTAAACCTCATTCCTTTTATCAACTACCCAGTCTCAGGTATGTCTTTATTAGCAGCGTGAAAACCGAATAATACAGGTACAGGGACAGAATCTCTGAAACAGTAACGATAAAGTGAGACCTGCAAGGTAACTGGGAGTCAGCCACGTGACTGAGAACACAGAGGAGCTATCTTCTAAACATGGATGGAGTTAATCTGAGACCCATCATCTGACTTCTTGTAGGCAGTTTGTTTACAGATGTGTAGTAATAGCCTCAAACAAAAATATATCACACAGATGAGAGGCAATTTCATCAATAACACTAACATAATAGTGGTAACAGGTAACATTTATTGAACAGTTAGTATATGCCTGGTACTCTTGAGATGCATGAGTCATTTAATCCTCTCAATGATTCTTACATACACACATTTCAAACTGGATCACAGATATACAATATTGGATTAATCATAAGCCACAGTATCATGACACAGTCTAATGGGTGGGCCCAGCACAACCTGCCTGTATTTAATTAGTTATTATTAACAGTATAAGTACCTAAGAATCTACCAGCAAGACACAAGGTAGGACCCTGTCAATAACCTGTATCTAATCATATGACTCCCTCATCAGAGGTAACTATCCCCCTGTTATATCCTCTGTATCATCACCCTACATCCTCTGTTCATCACTCCCTTGCTTTCTGTTTTACAGTTTTATTGCACCTATTTTTCGTTAAAAGTGAGCTGTTTATTTTAGTGATTTTTACCTTTATTAAAAAAAAAAAAAACATGGTGAATGTTAATTTATAGGACTTACTTTTCACCTCTTCACTTAAAACTAATTTGTGCTACTCTGCATTGCTATAATTCATTGCTTCTGACTCTGGTATAATACCATAGGGTTTGTTTGTTCACTCTCTCTGTGTTGGGTATTTGGGTTGCTTCCAGGTTTTTGATATTGTGTATAGTGCTGCAATGAATATTCATATCCATGCTCATAACTCATGTGCACACAGGCAAGGTTACTCTCTGAGTACAGGAGTGGGCCTGCTGGGTTCCAGGGTACATGAACACACAATCATAGAAGGCAACGCCTCGCAGGGGACGTCCACTTACATTCCCACCAACTATGTAAAAGGATCCTGTGGGTCCACATGTTCATCAAGACTTGGCATCGTCAGGCTCAATTTTTGCTGATGGATAAGGCATAAAATGGTAACTCATCGTCTTCATTGGCATCTCCATGACCCCCATATGCTGTTGAACATTTCTGCACACATGTGCGGGACCTGTGTGTTCGCTCTTCTACGACATGCTTGTCCATTCTCCTGCTACTTTTTCTTCTGACTTGCGGTGTTCTCACTGACTATAGTTACTGATATATTTTTTACTCGAATGCTATTAGTTGTATGGATTGCAAATAGATTCCTCCAATTTGTAACTTATCTTTCCAGCTT